TATTACGGCTACTTAAATCAAAATTTGACTAAGTAACTCCTTTGCTTGACTCAGTGATGTTATCAGAAACAGATACCCAAAGGCATACTTGAAGGAAAACATAAGGCTAAAAGAAATCCAACACCCTCAGCTCTTCTTAACTCAATGAACAGAGATTTTCACATTCATTGAGAAAAGTTCTGAGGGCTTCAAGGTATAACCTTAATCAACTTGCATATGGACTTCTGAAAGGCATGGTGTTTAATTTGCCAGATCTTCTCAAAATGCCTTTTACCAGGGACACTTACATGTATGTATATTCTTTGCTTACCAAACTGATACTCTGTTTCTCATTACACTCATCATTGTATCTAAATACACTTTTAAGCAATCTAAATTTTGTTTAAAATCTACTCAACTTGGATTAACTAATACTATCAACATAGTTAGCTGGATTATTTTTTCACACGTTCCTTTGTATTAAAATCAATTATGTTGTCTTTTGATGCAAGAGCTTTTTGTTTGTTTTGGTAGGAGAGGCAAAGTCCAATTTCCTAACACACCGGTACAGTTCTGGTTGCTGAAGACAAAGGGCAGGAAGGAGGCTGGTGGAAAAGATGGCAGGGGTAAGTGAGGTAAGGGGGCAGGGGAAATTGATTTAATAAAAAATGAGTAAAGAAACTTTAAAAAATGGATATAAGTTTCACATTCAGTCTAACAACACTGCTTCCTGCTCCTTTTTAATCGAGGCTAACACTGCGTTATCAGTCTCTGTGGCTTCTGTGTCCCCACCACCTAGCAGAATGGAGCGATCTTCTTCTAGTGTAAAGACAGAGTTTTGATTTTGGCACGAATGTTTGACTACTTCATTGGGAGTTGAAAATGTTTTGTCACACAAGTTACATTTGTAGGGCTTGTTGGTCTGTACTAGCATGTTGTCCATTTGACTGCCTTCCTCGAAAGTACAGAGTTCCAGAGTCTGTTTGTCCACCATAGTGTACGTGTCCATGCTCTGGTTTAGGCACACGTGTCTGGCAGCCTGGTTAGCCCTACAAAAGCTTTTGTCACAAGTGCTGCACTTGAAGGGCTTGCCAGTGTGTATGTACATGTGCTCCCTCCAGTGGCTTTTCTGAATAAATTTGCGACCGCAGATGGAACATTCGTATTTCCGTCTTTTTACTTCCCTCTCTTGATCTGCCTGCTCCAAGTTGTCTATGTCTGCAATATCAGAGGGGGGCGGTGTCTCTGACTGCTGCTGCCCATCGATTATCGGGGAGTCTGAGATCTGCTGCAGCTCGCTGTCACTAATCATCCCTGCTTCAGGCACTTCCACGGCATCTTTATCAGCTGTGTTGTTACAGAGAGACAAAGAAATATTACTTTCTCCCTGCTGGCTAGATGTGAAGGGAACTCCCGTGTGGATCTGCAGGTGCTCACGTAAACTGCTTCGCAAATTGAACCGACGACCGCAGAGGTGGCAGGCATAGTATTTTGGAAAGCTTCCGTTCCTTTTCATAATGCTTGGCTTGACATGTGCTATTGTGAGCGAGGCAGGCTGCTCGTCCGAAGAAGATGCTTCCATGTTGGCCTCTTCTCCTGCAGGTGAATTATTACCAGCAGCAGATACCAATTCTGGAGATAAAGAAGATGGCAACGGGTCAGCAGTGGACATATTTGTCCGGGTCACTTGTGGCAGAGTTGTAGCTAACTGTGAGAGCTGTGGGCCTTCAGAAACCTGCTCCTGGTTCATCCGTGATGTCTGTGGCCTTGGTTCTCGCCCGAGTTTGTCAGTCGCTGATGTAACCTTAGTGGGATGTCTTATCTGGTGATCTGCAATCTGAATGCCATATAATGAAGATGCTAATGGAAAAACTTGATCTGGGTGAGAAAAAGTTCCCTGACTTGCAAGGCTGGCCTCTTGAATTAGAGGATATGCATGCAGAAACTTTATTCCCTGTTCCAGTCGAACTGGGTCAATGAGTTGCGGTGCCATCTTCCCCGTGTACATCAAATGCAAAAGATAACTGAAGATATCTGGCTGTATGTCAGTTGCTTTCAAACGGACACATTCACTGAAAAGTGAAAAAGAATGATCAATAAGAGACAGTGAAAATCTTTTTAGCAGATCTAGGCTATTTGAGCATTGAAAAGAATCAGAGGCATCCACTTAAATTCAAAGGACAAAATCTGCAATAAATATAGAGGAATGCTTTAACGTAGAAGAGCGAATCCCACTGGTCACTTGAAAGATGACATTTTTTTTTCCCAGGGAAATAACTGGTTTGAAAGACAAAGCTGTCCTGTTGCAATCCATACTCTTCTAAATTGCTGTTATGTTATAGATTTGTTGTCATATATTAATATATTTTGTAAATTGCAAAGATATTTCCCCCCTTTTTTGGGTTGGATTCAAACATATCTGTAGCTAAATTAAAATCTGCTAGCACTGGACTCTAAATTCACAATCCATTAAACGCTTTTCAGTACTTAGTCCTGAAAACACCTAAAACTCACCTGGCACTTGGCCTGTTTGACTTCTATGTCTGACTAGCATTTACAGCTACAATTCCGCAAACATGTGGTATCACCTTGTCCCAAGTGCGCTACAATCCAGAAACCACACAGGACAGGGTGAGAACCCCCTGAGGATTTGATGCAACAGGTGCCGCCTGAGCACACCTAACTCACAGAGGCCGGGCTCCACACAAAGCAGAACAGTAACTTCTCTCCTTGAACAGGGAGAGGAAGAAACGGTAGCACCAGCAGCATGCCCGGTTAGCCTAACAGACCCATGGTTAGAGTGCTCAGCAAAGGGAATCGCCTTGGCTGCGATGCTTTCTTCATCCTAACAGAACCGAAACCAACGCCATCCTCTAGCTGAGAGCATGCCCTGCGCATCAACTTTTAGGATACTCTGGACTGAAACACCCACCATGCCTCCAGTTGAAGCTGGATCTCTACATAGAAAGAGAAGCAAGGTTCACAGAAGAAAGAAAATCAGGAGCGTCTTGGTTAGGGCAATTAGTTAATGGGACAGAATCTGGGATTCTAGTAGTTTTTCAGAGTTATTTGTAGCTCCTGTACTAAACAAACAGTAAATAAAAGACAGACATCCAGAAACAGCTATGACTGCATGCTGTGGTCTGAGTGCTCTAACCACAGTAGGCTACCAAGCTGAGGAGGAACTTACAGAAATTATGGCCAATTCTCTCGTTTCTTGAGGTGCGTCCTTCTTTAGCTCAATGATGTATTACTCAGAAGTAAACTTCACAATGCTGTCTTCCAGAGATGACTGTGTGCTCTTGATGGAGCATAAAGACCAATATATCTGCCTGCAGTTCTTTCTCAGAAGTGCAAATGTACTTCTGCCCTTGATGTTTACTTTTGGCTAAGAACTCTTAGCCAAAGAGTTAAGAGTTTCACTCACTTAACATAAACCTTTCGAGATAGTTCAAATAATTGTGAATAAGAAAAGACAAAAAAAAAATAATCTTTAAAATCGTCTTATGCTTTTTTTATCTTTTCAATGCTCTCCATGTAAGGCTGCCCCCTTCCCAAAAAATAAAAATAAAAGGAACAAAACCAAACTCCCTTATTTTTCCACCACTATGTGGTATTTTATTATTCAACTCACTCTGGTAAACTCTAAAAATAAGAGAAATATATTAACCTCTTTTGTAAGTCAATTTCTCAAAATCTCCTAGCAAATACTTACTGGGTTGTAAATAATGTTAGGGAAATGCCAAGAATAGTGCCAAAACTAAGTAAAGTGAGTGGGGAAAGGAAAGTACAAGAATGAAGACAGGATTCTTTATAAATATTCAATTCTAGGAAATCTCTGCTTTTCTAAGGATAAGGAGCTTGTGCTAAATTATAACATTAATGTTAATGAATCACAGTTCAACTTTAATATGTTTTAAAATGAGATTCTAGTTCTCAGATAAGACTGGATTCCATATTCCTTACATCACAACAAGAAGTAAAAAGAACATTTTCAGGTTTCAAAAAGTTGCTAGACCTCCTTAGCTCAGCTAACCGAACAACATCTAAACAGTGAACCTTTTTGTAGTTACCTGGTTTGATGAACAAACAGCATCTTGAAGTAGTTGGAGAAAGAAGCAAGGACCGATTTGTGTGCCTTGAAGTAGACATCACCAATGGCGACGGTGCAGTCACACAGGAAACCGAACTCTCTCTGAGCGTTTAGTTGCTGCAGCAGAATAAGTCCATGGTTGGCCAAATCCATTTTTTTACACTCTGAAAAGCAAATGACTTCCATGTAAAACTTAACAGTAGATGTCTGGACACAACAATAGTTGTCTCTTAGCAGACAGTCTCCTCTAGTTCCCATGCACCATGCTTTGGTAACACCTCTTAATCCCAAACTACTGTACAAATGTATCTTACACGTAGGCAAAGATCTCTGTTTCTTTCCTTTGCAGAGGCTCAAAGAGCCAAGGAGAGCCAGGGCTAAAGAGTTTTGAAAAGGCATGAGCAGAGGACTTGGCTACGGAATTATAAACAGTTAAATGAGAGGAAGAAATATCAATGAGTACTAAAAAGAGCTGTTTGGGAGAACAAAGTATTTTGGCTGCCACTCATGTGTTCAAACAGGAAAATTCAATCTCCCTTCTGATATCAGTCACCCTCACAAGAGCAGAGCCAAACAAAAGACAAGTTAGATACTTTAACTTGAGTTTTCACTGCCCCTGTGTATCTTCTACCTAGAAGTTATGTGTCCATCCAGCTGAATCTAAACCCAACATGAAATAATCAAGCATTTCTGGCGGTTATGTCCTCTCCTGGAAAATACCAGATACAAACCTGACTCTTCCCAGGCAGAAACAACTTTTTTCTAAGTACTGGAAAGCCCTCTGGACTATCAGAATAGGAGGAACAAATCTTTTCACCCAACAACTATTTATTTATTTACTGAAATCAGCTACAATAGCATTTGTAAGGAACCTGCACGCCTCATCATCACCTAGCAAATGAAGAAACCTGAGGGGTGAGAGGTATGGGTCCATCCATCACTGGCCACTGGCACAAGCTAGGATAACTAATGGTGAACCTGAGCCCCCCTAAACCAGGGCTTCCGCAGTGCCCCCCCTTCCTTCACTTCCTTGCACCAGCTGCTGAGGTTGCCCTCAAAGAACTACTCAAGAGCTATAAGCTTTTTCTCAAGGATTCAAGGGCAGCCTTGGGAGCAAGAATTGGTAACTTTGGGGACAAAACAGTGAGGAAAACACATCAGGACACTTACATATGGCTGGATGAATATAGGGCTAGAAGATCAACAAGTGGATACAAATTTAAACAAAACAAGGTATCAAGCAGAAAAAAAAAGTGAAATTATGATGTAGGTCTGCACATAGCTGTGTAAAACAGCAAGAGAAGTCAACGAAATTCCCAGGCACATTATGCCCAGAAGAGTGCAGATGCTCTGTGAATAGAAAAGAAAGAGAAGGTGAAACCAGGAGAACTGGATCCAAAGCAGGAGATTTATACAAGGTCTTGCTTTTTTTTTCCTTCCAAATTCAAAAGGAGGTCATCAAAATGTTAGCTAAGGTAGAAACAGCTTGTTTCTTCTATATAGTAACAGCATGGCTTTTTGGGAAAGAGAATAAAAGTGTCTTCCACATATACCCATATGTGTGGTCACTGGAGAAAGAAGTATTTCTACTGCCTGGACAGTGACAAATGGCCTCGTATTTAAACCAATAGCCAGGCTGACCAAATGCATTCCTTCACATTCACATGAGATCAGAACTTAAGTTTGAGTCAGAGGTACAAGGGCAAAGAAAGAAACGTAATTTAGGATACAGTTGATTATTTTCTTACAGTTAATAAGAGAAAAATAAATAGACTTCAACTTCCTTCAGGTCCATCCTCTCCTCCCTAAGTTACGTTTTGGGCAATTATGTTAGTACAAGCGATATGCTAAACCCCTCTCTCTTTCTCAAAAGAGGGAATGCTCGCTATCAGCAATAACAAAAATCACGTTTATTGTTATTCAATTCTGCAAGATGCTCCATGAACGTAGACTTCGTGATGTTATGGAAAACACACTAGATTTTTTTCTTTTGGTAGCATTAATTTAAATTATTCTGTGTGCTACAGTTTTTATCTCTTAAGTGCTGAGTCTGGTTCATACTTGGGCAGCAGAACTTGCCAGGCAGAGCAAATCATCGATGTGAGGGAACTGCAAGCAAGGAAGGGATTATTTCTAGCTATCATCATCCTGAGTTTGTTTAGCTTGGTTTCCTCCTACCCAGAGAACAGTCATTGCAGCAGTTGGAGCTGTTACCCTTTGTCAGAGACCTAAATTAATCTTCTCACAGAGCAACATGGTGTTCGTCCAACTGCACACCACTATGTTTTTGTGCATATTTGAAAGATGGTTAAATGCTTTGAATTAAATGAACTTAGAAGAATTATACTCCAAGGTGATTATACTGCAAAGAGTAAGGAAAGCACTTTATCTCTCTTTTATATACAGAAGGGTACATGATGGTATGTTCAGGGGCTTTACTCCCAGCTAAATAAAACGATGATTAACACCAGCAAGGCTGTATTTTAGCGCTGACCGACTCAACAGCTGCGTAATACACGTCTGGTGCCCTGAAACTCCCCGGGGACAGTCCTCCCATCCTACGGCGGCCAGGCTGGCCGGGCTCAGCTTTATCACAACTTGGGGAATTACCTAATTCGCTCAACGGTGGGTGAAAGACCACGCGAGGCCGACTCCCTTCTGAAAGCGCACGTTTATCGCCGAGAGCACGAAGGGA